CATTGGTTCAACCAAGGATATTACCATACATACTATCCTCAACAGATCATTTTATGTTTTCCAATCCAGCAGGGAAAAGAAAATCATTTTTAACAACTAGTGTTTGAAAAACTGGGTATCCACCTGCAGAAAACTGAAACTGGACCCCTATTTCTCACCACTAACAAAAATCAACTCAAAGTGGATCAAAGATCTAAACCTAAGACCAAACTATAAAACAACTGGTGGAAAACACAGGAGAAACCCTTGGAGACGTCGGAGTAGGCAAAGACTTCTTAAATAAGACTCCTAAAGCACAGGCAATAATCCCCAAAATAGACAAGTGGGATTATATCAGGTTAGAATGCTTCTGCTCAGCAAAAGAAACAATTAAAGTGAATTGACAATGCTCAGAATGGGAGAATATATTTGCAAAATATGCCTCAAATGAGGGGCTGATAACAGAATATACAGGGAACTCAAGCAGAGGCAAGGGACCAGCAGTTGGCGTAATGGCTATGTTGTTGGACTCCCATGGAGTTGACCGTAGTTCAAGTCCCAGACCTGGTGGCTTAAACTCACACTGGGTGCGTGTGCATGCATGCCCAAGATCCTGAGAGGAGAATGGAGGAGAAGGGATTGCGGTGTGGCCATCCCCCCTGGAGGGTGATTTCTTGCTTTCTGTCTCTCTGTCTCTCTGTCCTTCTGGCAAGCGCATGCGCCCTATAGCAAAAATCTCTAAAAAAAAAAAAAAGGATGGGCAAATGAGCTGAACAGACAACTCTGTAAGGAAGACATATAAACAGACAAAAAACATATGAAAAAATGCTCAACATCCCTTATCATACAGAAGATGCAAATCAAAACTACAATAAGATACCACCTAACCCCAGTCAAAATGGTTAAGATTAAAAAAATAAGCAATAATGAGTGCTGGTAAGGCTGTGGAGGAAAGGGAATTCTGCACTTCTGGTGGGAATATAAATTAGAATAGACACTATGGAGAGCAATATGGAGGTTCCTCGAAGACCTTCAAATCGAACTACCATATGATTAAGTAATTCCCTCCTGGATATCCACCTGAAAGATAGGAAAACACTCAGTTGGAAAAACACCTGCATACCCATGTTTATTGTGGCATTATTCACAATCATTAAGACATGGAACCAACCTAGATGTTCATGAACAGATAAATGGATTGAAAAAGAGTGACACATATACACTATGGAATGCTACTCAGTCATAAAAAAAAAACAATGAGACCCTTGTATTTGATAGAAAGTGGATGAATATGGAAGATTTACTGCTAAGCAAAGCAAGCCAGACTATGAAGGAGAGGCACTGTATGTCCCCACTCAATATATACTGAACATCTGCTCTCTATGGCAGAAACTGAAAGATTGGAAAGTACAAGGCATGGAAAGCTACTGTGGAAACTAGAGAGAGACAGTGTGGGAGGATAGTGAGAAACGGGGAAGGGTGAAAGGGAGGGAAGCAAGGGGGAAAGAAAGAAGCAGAACATTTAAGGGACACATTTAAGAGGAGTAGACCAGTCTGAACAGGGAAGAGCAAGTACCTGGTTTCTGAATCAGATGTGAGTGCTAGTCTTGGCTTTCGAGTTCTACCTCTTGGAGCCTCATTCACCAAAACAGCCTACAAATATTTGTTTAATGAGCCCTGCCTGCCGTCAGGCTATGCTGTAGATACTGGGGAACAAGTGAAACAAACAAATAAAAATCCTTGCCCTCACAGAGCTTGATTCAGCAGTGTTTGGGCAGGCTCCATGGCACAGCGGTAATGCACTGCTCAAGAGAGGCTGGATCCTACAGGGTGACCATGACTGGAATTCCTGGCCCTGTCAGCAAAATTCCAAGGATCTAACAGGCTGAGTGACTGGAGGAAGGGGATCATGGCATGATCAGATCCTATGAAGAGTGCTCCATCTCTTTTACTCTCTTCCCCCCACTCCTCTTTCTCACAAGTGTGAGAAAACTTGTTCTTTCAGATCAAGGACAGTGAGTGCTGAGGCACTCACTCAGGCTCCTGAGTTCCTTAGGGAAGAGGAATGGCTCTCTCTTAAAAAAAAAAAAAGAAAAAGTTTATTTATTCTACTAGTGACAGGGACAAAGAGAGAGAGAGAGAGGGAGAGAGATCCAGCATGCCTGACGGGGCCCTGACATCATGATGTACCCCCAGTCCCAACAGCTCAGGTCACAAGCACACACATGCCTGGCGAACTCAGGAATGGCTCCAGACACGCACCTTTCTATGTGGGTCCGCCTTGCAGAGGGAACTTTATTACTGCATCACCACCTGGCCCTAGGGCTATCGTTATATTTGTATTAGCTGTTACTGTTTTGTTTTGTTTAAAAAAAAAATTTGAAAGTGCTAAATATATTTTTACATAAAATTAAGAGCTTCACCAACCTCTTTCTTCCTGTGGTATTTTCTCAATTAAAAATAAATACCCAGGGCCAGCAGGTGGTGTGGTGGTGGCGGTGAAGGTGCTGAATCCCACACTACTAACTTTGTGGACCCAGAGGTTTGAAAACACGCTGGGCACGTGCACATGGGTGCCCAAAATCCCAAGAGGAGACTAGAGGAGAAGAGATTGTGGCATAGCCATGCCCTCTGGAGGCGATTTCTCACTTCCTTCTCTTTCTCTCTCTCTGTCTCTTTCCAGTGGGTGCACATGCCCTGTAGCAAAACAAAAATAAGCATCTATTTTTAGCTTAACTCCCAGAAACAGTACCATTCCGAAAGTACAAAAGGGGATCCTTACTTCATGTCACATCTGGATGCTGAGCATTGATGGGTAGTGACTTGGACTCCTGGGTCCTGATGGCTATAGGCTAGAAACTTCTGGGTTCTAGGGGAGGGAGAGAATGTGGACCTGGACTCCTGACTCTGAATGAGAAGGGCAGAGACCCACAGATTCCTGAGCAGTGAGAAGACTGGCCACGAAACATCAGGGACCCAGTATGTTAGACGAATTTCTTGTTGTCTTTTCTCTAATTCTGCTTCTGTAAGTGGGATCAAGACCACAGAGGGTAGGGAACCAGCAGTTAGCGTAATGGCTATGTCGCTGGACTCCTACGTGGTTGACCACGGTTCGCGTCCTTGACCCGGTGGTTTAAAGCTCACGCCGGGCGCGTGTGCGTGCGTGCCCAAGATCCTGAGAGGAGAATGGAGGAGAAGGGATTGCGGCGTGATCATCCCCCCGGGGGGGTGATTTCTCACTTTCTGTCTCTATGTCTCTCTCTCTCTGTCTGGTGAGCGTACGCGCCCTATAGTGAAAATCTCTCCAAAAAAATAAATAAATAAATAAATAACCACAGAGGGTACTACTCAAGACAGTCTGCCCTATTATTCTGTTCCTTGTTAAATGACACCAATCAAAACAGCCCCTCTAGTTATTCTAAGAATTGCCAAAGCTTCTAGAATATGCCAGCCAGATAGTGATGACAGACTCACCCATGCTTACTATCATCATATTAGAGAGACCTCCTCCTCTCAAGAGCATCGCCCCTGGCCTGTTGCTAGGGCAAGGCTGAAATCGGCCATGGCTTTTACATGAGGTGTTTCATCCTCTCCTGCTACTTGATGACCCCAATCCATCCTGCACTGGAGACCCAAGGGCATCTGACATCTAACTATTTCCCATCCCCTCCATGAATCACACACTTATTTCACCTATTTTTGGTGTTCTGAACTACAATATAATATAATTACAACTTTTTTGCCTTAGGTTACGATTTCAGGTTTTTTTTTTTTTTAGACCGATTTATGCTATAGGGTGCATGCACTTGCTTGAGAGACAGAGACATAGAAACTGAGAAATCAACCCCCAGGGGAATGGCCACACTGCAATCCCTTCCAGGATTCTGGCACTCTAGCACACGCAACTGGCTTGAGTTTCAAGCCGCTAGGGCCAGGACTCCAACTGTGGTCAGCCACGTGAGAGTCTGACACCTTAACCACTACACCACCTGCTGGCTTTATTGTCTGTTTGAAATCATTGCAGGGGGCTCTAAAAGGGAGTATTAATCTTCCTAATCTAGCTTAATTGCTATCTCTTCATATTTCTATGAACTGTCCCTAGTTTTTCAAAAAGCATTTGAAAGTTCTTAATATAATTCTGCTTAAAACTAAGAGCTTTGCCAACTCTTCTTACCGTTGCATTTTCTCTATTAAGTATTCACGAGACCAGCAAAAATCTCTCACAAACTAAAGAAGTAAATATCCATTGATATTGTAGCTCACAGAAACAGTAACAGTTCTGAAAGTAGCAGAGCAGATCCCTACTTCATGCTGCATCTGAAAGCTTAAGCCTATGTGAAATGCCGCTATGCACAATAAATCTGAATGACACGTCTTGTTCAGGGTACTGACATGGTCACAAGGGTTAAATATGATGGCAAATCACACCATTACTGTTCATATATATATTCAGGGCATTGAAGTGAAGCTGCAGCCAGACTTCCTTTAGAGATTCAGTCCTCCATGGGGAGGCTGATGCAATACATCAGAAGATGGCACCTGGACCGAGCAGGACCCACTGCATGTGCAGAGGAAGGAGGCCAAGTTGACTGCCAGGGCATGCGGGTGTTAGGGCAGGGACCAGGATGGAAATACAAGCCACTTGGGTACAGAGATAAGTTCAGTAGGCGAGGGCCTAGGGTTTGAACTTCTAGCGTAGCTAGAGAAGCAGAGTCAACATAGCACAGAAAGAAAAAGGCAAAGTGAGGTCATTTGCTGAGACACAGCCCCTGCCACCAAACTCCGGGCCCACGCTCCTTCACTGTGTGTGCCCGGGGCCGCAGAAACTCGGAGTCTCTTTCCGCTCGCCTCCCATTTGCCTTTCACGCATGCGCACTTTCTGAAGCTGGCCGAAATTGACTCCTCCAGGACCAATGAGGTTTCATGTTCTTCCAGGCACATCCAATGAGCTCATTCGATACTTTCATATGGACCAATGGGGCTTCGAGCAGCTGGTGTGGCCAACATTAGCCCCACCTTCCGTGCGTCTCGCCAACGTGAGGTGCCCAGATTCGGGGGAAGGCATTCCAGGGCGTATCTTCGGCCCGGTGAGGTTCTGGTGAGGTCATCTGGACAAAAAAATTTTCCTTCCTTAGAAAAAGGAGGCTGGAGAACCAGATTCCTGAGAACTGAGGAAAGAGAAGGCCGGGAATCTGGACTCCTGGGCCTGAGGGGGCATGGGCAAGGACCGGACTCCCGGGCCTGAGAAGGGAGGAGGCTGGGGGTTCCTGCAGGGCTCGCGGTTGGAACCCCAATTCCTGGATAGGTAGGACCGGACTGGGCTCTCAGAATCTCAGGTTCTGGTAAGAGCTGGGGCCTGGGAGCTGAGATACCAGTGCCTTGGCAGAGTATAGGTTTTGACCCGAACTCCTCAGTCTGAGGGAGAAGGGGCCTTGGGGCTGAATTCCAGGATCCTGAGTTGGAGGGTACTGGGTTGCCGAATTCTTTGGTCGTAGGCAATAGATGGCTGGGTCTGAGAATTACAATGGAAATTGAGGCACAATAAATTATTAACTTGCGCAAACCCACATGCTAGTTAGGGACCGGTTGACTCCAGAGGTTAAATAAATAAATAAATAAATAAATAAAAGAGGTCGTACCTAAGTGTACCCTAAGGTCATAACTTACCAGAATCTTGATTTAAGCTCACTAGATTGAAAAGTTGTTTTTTGGGGCCAGCCAGGTGACGTGGAAGTTAAGGCAGCTGGAGTCCCAGACTGGAGGCTTGAAAAACAGGTGGCGGCTGGACTCCCACGTGGTGCTCGACTCCCACGTGGTCCACCACGGTTGGAATCCTGGACCTGGTGGCTTGCTTTCTTACTTTCTCTCTCTTTCTGTCTCTCTCTGAATGCATTTGTCATATAGACATTTTTTAAAATAATAATAATAAATAAAATTAAATAATTCTTTACAAACAAACATGCCAGGATCTCATGCCCACCCAAATCCTAGAGGACAGTAAAAGAGAAGAGATTGCTGTAAAATTATTCCCCCTGGGAGGGAGGTACTTTCTCTCTCTCTCTCTTCTCCTCTCTCTGTCATCCCCATCTTTCTCTGGTAAGTACATGCACCCTATATTAAAACTGAAGAAAGAAAGAAAAAAGAGAAAATTTAAAAATGTGTTTTCTTCATCAAATCACAGATCCTCATCAGTTTCTCCTAACCTCTGAAAGAAGCCATGGGAACTCGTCATATCCAAAATTTATTGTTCATCTTTTTCCTAGGAGCCTCCTCCTTGACCTGTACGTATAGGGGCCATAGGGGACGAGCAGCTGAGTTACAGAGGGTAGATTATGGTGAAAAGGGAGTGACTTTTGCCTCATGGAGAAAAGCAAGTGCTTATCTTCATACCATTTTCTTCTCAGTGGCCCAACATTTGTATTGTCAAAAGGGTATAACCACAAGTGTAGAGGAAGAGCCATGGAATACATTTAACTGGACCACGGGGAAAGTTGACACTTGTGACGATGGGGGACTTTGCCAGGAAAGTGTACTAATGATTAAAGCAGGTAAAATGAGAATGGGGCATTTGGATTGAGTGGGAAGGAGGATGATTATGTCAATGCTGTTCTCCCCTCCCCAAGCCAAAATTAGACTAACAATCCTCTTTCCCTCCCTTCTTTCTCATAACAGGAGCCAAGACAGCTCTTTTGGCCACTAAGAGCTGCATCACCCAAGGAGTGCAGGAAATGATATTTGTTCAGCACACTCCTTCCCCGGGCCTGGTTGCAATCTCCTACAGTAACTACTGTGAGGATTCCTTTTGCAATAACAAAACAGATTTATCTCAGTATTGGCATCTGCAAGAGACTTCAGGTACCCTGGAAAGAGGAGGGGCTAGATGTTAAGAGAAACTTCAAAAACACCTAAGGAATGTTTGTCTTCTCTCTTTGTGTTCTTACTGGCTTAGGCCCAAGCACAAAACGACCTCAGCAGTCCAATTGATAGTCTTTTAAATTTTTTTCTGAACTGTTTGTTATCTTGGTTTCTAAACATCACTCTGAGCTGTAGGATATCAGTGAAGGCTGGGATGTAAACTGGGTTTTGTGCTTTTTAAGCAATAAGACAGTGTCAGTTTCTGAGCAATGCGGTGGCATTATCAATTTAACATGTATTTGTTTTCCATTCTATGTGACAAGAGTTTAATGCCCCATTGTCCTCAAGGTCTGTAGTTATCTGGCCCTGCTTATTTTTACAGCTTCATTTCCCTCTCTCATTTACAGTATCCTAGCTGGGACCAGCAAAATACATAACAATGGAGACAGTACTGGCCAGTCAGAATGGATACCAGCCATATAGAAAAGTAGTTCAGTCCCACCAGTGCCTACCCGCTGCATATCAATTCTACACCTTCTCATGATTTCCCAAATCTACCAGGCCAGCTCACAGCTCCTAGCCTTTATCCTTGCTGTTTTCTTTGATTCCTCTACTCAACCCCTATTTTTATATAACTAACTCCTGTTTATCCTCCTCCTCAACTCAGGCATAAATTCCCTGAAAATACTTACCAAATTATGAATCATCTGAAAAGTCATGACGTATTTTTCTACGTATTTTGCATAGAAAATTACGTCATGACTTTTCCTATGAGTCATTATTTTAGGTAGGTAGATATGCCATTCCTTTTCTGTTATACCTTGAACACAGTAACTACTGAGTTGTCTTATAGATAATTACTTATATGTCTTTTCTCCTATTAGACAAGGATGCTAGATTGGCAAGAACTTGTCTTTTTCATCTCCACATAGTTTGGAAATTATGTTGGTGGGATTTGGACAGCAAAGAAAGTCGTCTGGGGAAGGGTGGGGACACTGCTGTAATGGACTGACACCAGTAGGAAAGGCTTGGGGGAAAAAAGTCAGCAAAGAAAGATAACTCCAGAGGCAGAAGATGCCCCTAACTGTCTCTCTCATTTTCCTTCCAGTTCCCAGCATGCCAGCAGCCCTCCTTTGCCCAACCTGTGTGGCTTTGGGGACCTGTTTCAATGCTCCTGCTTTGCCCTGCCCCAATAGTACAACTCGATGTTACCATGGAAAACTTGAGATAGTTGGAGGTAAACTGAAATGAACACACCTGGTGGTCTCAGAGGCTGAAAATCTAGACCTCTTGAGTAAATCCCAAGAGGTTCTGACTCTGAGAGTTCTGGGATGAGGGAGGTCTGGATTCCCTTCTGATTTCCTAAATATTTATGTGTCTCTCCATTCTTCCTTGTTCCATAGGAGGCATCGAATTATCTGTGGAGGTCAAAGGCTGCACAGCCTTGATTGGTTGCAAGCTGATGGGTGGAATCTTAACAGTAGGACCCATGATGGTGAAGGAAACATGTCCACATCAGTCTCTCGCTCAACCCCGAAAGGCTGATAATGGGGCCCCCTGGCTTTCCATTTCAGTTTGGGGGTTAGAGTTACTGCTACCATTGTTGCTGCAATCCCTTGTTTGTTTTTCCTGAGAAGGTGCTTCTGGTCTTGGGTCTCAGGACACCTTTTTTGACTGGGAGCCCTCTGGCTGCCTGTTATCAACAAGTTGAGGAGAAGGTAGAGATTTGAGGGAGAATTGAAAGAGCTGCTATGGCTGAACCTGCCATTTCTAATAAAATTTCTGCTGTGTTTTGTGTATGCAGTAGACACTGCTAATGCTTTCTGCTGTGATTTGTGATTGTGCTGAAAGGGTCCCTAAATTTTATCTTATCTAATTCACACATTTACAGAAAGAATCTGGAAAACAGTGAGTTTCTCCCATTTACATCACTGTGGCAGAACCAGAACAGGAGATTAGATATTTTGACCTAAATTCTGATCTGCCTTTCACGCTAATGTGCTAATTTTAATTTCTCTTGTTAGCTGGACAAATGACCAGCAGTAGCCTCCTCCAGAGCACTCCCAGCCCAATCTTAAAGCCAAAATCAGCTGTTGTATGGTTCTGTTTTCCTAGGAGGTATAATAGAATGAGAAAATTCAGACTCTAAATCCTCCAGTCACAATGAGCCCTATCTCCCCAGATCCTATTTGTCCCTTACCTGCTCTCCATCATTCTTTCCCGTGTCTATGGCTCTTAGTGACTCGTCAGTGGACAGAAAGGACTGGAAAGGAGCTAGGCTCTGTAGAATATATTAATGGGACCCAACTACAGATGCTCTTTGATTCACAGTGGATTATGTTTATTGTAAATTGAAAATATCTTAAATCAGGGCCAGCTGGTGGCCTGGTGGTTAAGGCGCTGGACTCTCACATGGTTAACCACAGTCTGAGTCCTGGACCTGGCAGCTGCTTTCTCACTTTCTCGCATCAAAGATTAAGATAAAGGTAAATAAATTATTCTTTAAGGAAAAGAAAATATCTTAAGTTAAAAAGGCATTTAATACCCCAATAAATCCATCAGAAAGCTAAAAAAAAAACATTAAGCTGAACCATGGTAAGTTGGGGACTGATGGGATTGAGTAGGAAAATTATTTTGGGGGGATTTTCATGCTTTTTTTTTTTTTACTTATTGCTCAACGATGCATAAAATTCATATATTGTGAAAGATTCAAGTGATATACAAAGTACAGAACAAAGTAAAAGGTAGAGAGAGAAAATTTTTCACTTTTTAAAAAGTTTATTTCCTCCGAGGCTGGGGTCCTCATGCTGTGATACACCTAGTCTCAGCCAGCCCCAGTTTTTGCCATGTGTGCTTGTACACCTGGTGTGCACAGGAAGGTCCTGGGACACAAACTGAGGACTTCTTCCATGTGGATCCAGTTGCATTACCACTGCCTGACCACCTGGCCCTTTTTTGATCATTTCTTTAACAACGCCTTTATTGGGGCCAGCAGGTGGTGTGGTTAAGGTGCTGGACTCCCAAACATGGCTGACCCCAGTTTGAATCCTGGACCTGGTGACTTGCATTCTCTCTCTCTCTCTCTCTCTCTTTCTCTGTCTCTCTCTGGTGAGCATATGTGCCCTATAGCAAATTTTAAAGTAATAGTAAATAGGAACTAGCAGATGATGTAGTGGTTATGTCACTAGACTCCCGTGTGACCAGTTGTGATTCGAGTCCTGGACCCAGTGGCTTGAAAAATCACACCAGGTGCATGTGCGTGCATGCCCAAGATACCAGGAGGAGAATGGAAGACAAGGATTATGCCATGGCCCTGGCCATTCCCCTTGGGGGGTGATTTCTCACTTTTTCTTTTACTGTCTCTTTCTCTCTCTCTCTCTGGTGAGTATACGTACCCTTAAGGCAAAAACCTCTTAAAAAATAAAATTAATTAATTAAATAATTCTTAAAAAATGATTTTATTTAAGGTTAGTGGACACATAGTAAATGCATTCAAGTGTGGGAGGAAAGACTTTTAAATTTAAATTTTATTTTTTTAATTAAAATTTTTTTTTAAATTAATTTACATTCATTCACTGAGCATTGTCACAGCATACAAAATGTGATTTCCCATCCAGAACATGCTGCATAGTAGCTTAATCATACATGTTATCATCAAAAATTTTCCATTTCTAGTTTCATATATATGTGTGTATGTGTATATATATATGTGTGTGTATGTATTTTATATATATATTTTTTCCCCCTATTTCTCACCCTCTGCCATTTCCCACCCTTCTCCCACACTACCTCAGGTGTCCACATTGTGTTCTATTCCTTTTTTCCCCAAATTTTATTGATTCATAAAATTTCTTAAATAATCTAACTTGAACTTTCAATAGCAAGCTCTGCTGATAATATACATAGCTATGAATACATGTCTGACTTTAGACATGAAACTTAGTAGAATGAATATACTATAATTAATTATGTCATTAATTATGTATTGTTTACTATATTTTTATGGTCATTAATTATGTATTGTTTACTATATTTTTTTAATTTTAAGGAAAGCAGATTTAGCTTTAATAAATCAAAGAAATGCTAAGGAAATATGCTTACAACTTAAAGCCAGGAAACAGGTTGGGATTCTGTTCAAATAGTAGGTACATGAACCTACCGGCAGCTCAAGACAAGACAGAAATCCTTGGGACCAGCAGTTAGCATAATGGCTATGTCGCTGGACTCACATGTAGTCGACCATGGTTCGAGGCCTGGACTCAGTGGCTTAAACTCACACCAGATGCATGTGCGTGTGTGCCCAAGATCCTGAGAGGAGAATGGAGGAGAAGGGATTGTGGCGTGGCCATCCCCCCAGGAGGGTGATTTCTCGCTTTCTGTCTCTCTGTCTCTCTCTGGTGAGCGCACACGCCCTGTAGCAAAAACCTCTCAAAAAAAAAAAATTCATCACAATCTCACTTTCTACCAAATGGAGGTAATAGTGAACTCAATTACATCGAGGTGTTCTCAGTCATGTCTGATTTACATTCAGTTAATACCGGTCTCTCCCTTTCCACTCTCTTGATCATGGGCTTTTGTTAGAGTAGTGGTGGGAAGGAAGTGACTCTAGGTTTTGTGTCTCAAGCCACTCACACTGTTCACGATCAGGTTTTTACTTGAACATCTTTTTGTTCAAGCCTGGTGCTTAGTTTCCTGCTGGATTCCACTGGGAAACCACCAACCCTGTCTGAGATCTGACGGGCATCCACGCTGGCCCTCCAAGCTACTTCTAGAAGAGAGCCTCTTCCAACTTCTCTCAAGTGCCTTTAGGGTGCTTTAGGAATTTAGGCATCCCATAGAGCTGATGAAATTCCTTAACGATCTGGAGAAAAGATAACTTCATAGTAACTCGCTTCGTCTTGCACTTGGCACCCCATCAGTCTTATGCTGAAATTGAAAAATGTCCTACCTTGCAAATCAAAAGTTGGGTCTTTAAAACTATTACTAGGGGCCAGCTGGTGGCATAGTGGTTAAGGTGCCAGACTCAAATGACTGACCACATGGCAGACCTGGTGGCTTGAAAATCATGCTGGGGGGAAAGGGGGACCTGTGCATGTGTGCCCCAAATCCCAGGAGAATGGAGGAGAAGGGATTGTGTGTGGCATGGCCATCCTCCCTGGGGGAGAGGTGTGATTTCTCATCTTCCCTCTCGCAATCTCTCTCCTCTCTCCAGCAAGCACACATGCTGTATGGTAAAACCCTAAAAAAAAAATAAATTAAAAAGGATGTTTCTAGTAACCTGATGCTATTGGTCTCACAGAACTGGTTAGTGAAGTGAAGGAAAGTTCCACCACACTCGCACTCACACAGCTTTCTCCAGTAGTTAAACTGATTACCACCAACTGCAACTGATTACCTTAAACTTGATACTAAAAAGGCAGCCACTTTTCTAAGGGGTAGAGGAGACAAGAGGCAGAAGTTCAGGAAGGATGGAGTATTGCAAAAAGGTAGGAATGTAGGTTACTTTTTGTTTTTCAAGGGTTAGAATGATCATGTGGGCATTTCAGCTTGGGGCAATGAATTCGGAGTGGAGGGGACACTTTAAAAACAAATTTATTTGCTTCTTCCATGAGAGGGAGTTGGGAGGAAGAGAGAAACTATTAGTGGGGTCTTGATGCTGTGATCTACCCCCTGCTTACAGCCAGCCTGAGGTCATGAATGCCTGGCATACTCAGGGAAGTCTCTAGACTTGAACTGGGAACCTTCCCATGTTAAATTGACTTGCAGAACATTGCATCTTACTGCTGCACCATCACTTGGCTCTGAAGGTCAGTTTTGATGAGGGACTTAGAAAACTAGTTGTTTGGGGCCTATTATCAGTTTTCAATGTTAATAAAATTAGTTATCATTTTTGATCAGTTATTCTGTTTTTTTTTCTGCTAAGAACTTTACAATCACTATTTGTTTGGGGAGGGGGGATTAGAGGCAAATTAAGTATCCGTCATAAGAGGAATGGACAAGTAAAATGTAGCAGGTAAATTCTTCCAGTATGCAACATCTGTCATCAAGCTACCATCATGTTAAAAAAGAAAAAGGTAAGAAATCACTTTTGTTCCATGATAGCACTTGTTTAACAATACTACAGTCAGAATACAGAACAGTTCCATCACCCACAAAAATTCCCTGACCTACTCCTTTGTGATCACACCTTCCCTTCATCCCACTCTTTGGAAACTATTAATCTATTCTCCACCCCTACATATTTGTCTTTTCTAGAAAGTTGCAGGGAATCACACACTATGTAACCTCTGGAAACTGGTTACCCTTCCTCACTTAATACTGTTGCGATTCATTCATGTTGTGTATATAAGTTTCACAACATAATGTAATGTTCTTTGTTGATGATGAATATGGTAATATTCTTGATTTGATTATCACACTCTACATGCATGGTTTGAAAAACCATGTTGTGGCGGGTTTATGTTCCACAGGATGGGATTTGCTAAAGTTGTCAAGAATAAGGCCTACTCTAAGAGATACCAAGTGAAATTTAGAAGACAACGAGGGTAAAACTGATTACTGTGCTTGGAAATGCTTGGTGATCCAGGATAATAATAAGTACAGCACGTCCAAATACAGGATGATAGTTCATGTAACTAACAGAGATACCATTTGTCAGATTGCTTATGCCCGTGTAGAAGGGAATGTGATAGTCTGTGCAGCTTATGCACATGAACTACCAAAATGTGGTTTGAAGGCTGGCTTGACATATTATGCTGCAGCATATTGTACTGGCCTGC